CACCTGCTTCACTCCACCCACGAGGTGGCTGGACATCTGTGGGGGGTGAGGCAGTTCCTCATTTGGAAAGGGCTCTGAGGAGCTGCACTACAATAGGTGTTAGGTCCAGGAGGAGTTGTTACTTGAGTTGTTTCTCAGGAAGGTGTAGGGGGGAAAGCACCGACCTTGGGGACAGGAACCTGGGTTTGAGTTGTAGCTCCAAGTAACCTGGGGTAGGTCACTCATTTTCCCTTGGTTTCTTTTATATTTATTTATTTGTTTGTTTATTTATTTTGTGAGGATATTTTTCCTTTTATTTTTTATTTATTGATTGATTTCAGAAAGAAAGGGAGAGGGAGAGAGAGATAGAAACATCAATGATGAGAGAGAATCATTGATCGGCTGCCTCCTGCCCCCACCACTGGGGATTGAGCCCACAACCTGGACATGTGCCCTGGACTGGAATGGGACCCAGGACCCTTCGTCCACAGGCTGATGCTCTATCCACTGAGCCATTGATTTTTAGAGAGAAAGGAAAGGAAGGGAAGGGAGGAGGGTGGGGGGATAGAGAGAGAAAGAAAGAGAGAAAATCAATGTGAGAGAGACACATCCATTGGCTGCCTCCCGCTCAAGCTCTGACTGGGGCTGGGGATGGACCCTGCAACCCAGGTACACGCCCTTGACTGGGAATCGAACCTGAGACCCTTGGGTGCGTGGGCCAACGCTCTAACCACTGTGCATACCAGCCAGGACCTCCCTTGGTTTCTTCATCTGTAAAATGGATTAGTGAGAGGCTCAAAGGATAGAATATAGATTAAAAGCGTTCACTAATTCTCAGGCACTGTATAAATGTTCCCTGTTAGTTTCCTGGTGAACTACTCTCCTCTGGATACCTCTTCTCCTTAATGTGGCCCAACTTTTAAAATAGGATCCTAATAATTTCTTTGTAATCATAGTTATAACAATAACTAACATTTATTGAATGTCTACTCTATATACATTATCCCAGCTCCTTCACGTAATCTCTCTGAACTTCAGTTTTCTCATCTGTAAAATGGAAATAATACTAATATCTACTTTGTGACTCAAGTGGTGATTAAATAAACGAATTTAGCATAGTGTCTATCACATTTAGTAGGCACTCAAAAAGTGTTGGAATTATAAACATTATATTATTCCATTTAATTCTCATTGCTCTGTGAAATAAGTAATATTTTTATCTCCATTTGACGGGTGAAGCATTTTGGACTCAGTGAGATAAGTACATGCTTTAGGTCACCCAACTAATGTTTTGCAGAATTAGGATTCCATTTGAAGCTAGCATTGCATTCACTACGGGCTTCTTAGTGGGATTGTGTCATGTAGCTACACCAAAGGCGTTAGTTAGTAATTCTGGCACCCAGGAAGGTTCAGTTCAAGTCAGAAACCACTTGGTATTTGTTATTTACCAGGTTATATAACTGTTATGAGTGAAGACAAAGACTTTAGTCACAGGAGTTCAGTGTTCATTCATAATATTAACCATGAGTAGTCCTGTTCTTGGTACAACCTCCCTGGTCTTCCCCTTTGCCCAGTCCTGTTCTTAGGGACTAGGAGACTTTTTCCATCTCTGCCTCAGCCATCTCCTTCATTTGACCTCTACTTGCCCTCCCTGGGCCAGGCCTCGGAACCCATCATGACTCAGCTCTTCTGAGTTATTGCCCAACTCTTTGTTGGCTAATGCCACTTCCTTCATCATCTGTCGTGTCAGTGGCCACACATTACACAGGTGCACTTTACTCTGTTGGGTGAACCATCACACACAGGTAGTGGGCATGTTGTTTTATATCAGAACAAGGCCTGTTCCACCCTTAGCTGAAAATCCCCTGAGGGCAGGGACCAAATTGCTTCTTGTATTTGTAATCTCTCCCCTCTCTCAAGAGAAAAAAATGTCTACACCTAGCACTTTTCTAAAGAAGGAAGTGGGGCGGCCTCCCTACGTTGTAGCAGAGGCGAATTAGGCGAGCAGGCAGGATTCCAAATGGGTGGGTGAAGCCAGAGGCCCTTCAGAACACCAGGGGGAGGCCAAGCATAGTGTCCATTTACATAACACCTTTTGCTTTTCAAATTAATCTTGTAATTTTTCATAAGGGTGACCCCCTACTAAGCTATCCCTGCTCTGAAGGTCCTTGCAGATAGGGGCCTAACTTACCTTTTTAATAATAGTAGAACTTAACTTGGCGGTTACATAGCTGTGAGAGGCCAGTGGGAGTAGCATAACCAGACTTATTCTCATTTGCTCTTCAGACCAGGCCAGTGGAGGAAGCATTGACTGGGCCTATGACTCTGGCATCAAATACTCATTTGCCTTTGAACTGAGAGACACCGGTCGATACGGCTTCCTGCTGCCTGCCAACCAGATCTTACCCACAGCCGAAGAGACCTGGCTTGGCTTGAAGACAATCATGGAGCACGTGCGAGACCATCCCTATTAGGGCTCTGGGGGAATAAACACCATTAAAAGCTCTCTAGTTTGAAACAAAGTCGGGAGTGATTATTTCTTTTTCGAGTCCTGATTTAGGAGAATTAGTTCTTCAATTTATGCTGTCCTAAAATATAGTAAACCACTGAGCTGTACTCCTTCATCTTTAAAAAAATATATATTCTTAGCAAAATGCTCCCAATATCCTCTCAACATTAAAAAATGTGGTAAAATATACAAATCATAAAATTTACCATTTTAACCATTTTTAAGTGTACAATTCAGTGGCATTGTACAGTGTTGTACAATTATCACCACCATCCATCTCCAGAACTTTTTTTATCATCCCAAACAGAAACTCTGCACCGGTTGAGCAATAACTCCCTGTCCTTCCTCCCTCCAGCCTCTGGTAACCTCTAGTCCATTTCTGTCTCTATGAATTTGCCTATTCTATGAATCGAACCCAGGACCCTTCAGTATTCTAGGTACCACATATAAATGAAATGACATAGTATTTGTCCTTTTGTGATTGGCTTAGTTCACTTAGCATAATGTTTTCAAGGTTCATGCATATTGTGGTATGTGCCAGCTCCTTCATCATAATAGAGTAGCGTTTTAGAACTAGAAAGGGACTTTTGAGTTCATGTATTCAAGAAGTACTAATTAAGCAACTACATTGTTCCAAGCACTATGGTAGGTACTGTGTCATCTGGTTCCATTGTTACTTTGCTTTTCCATTCCTGGTATGCTGCACTATGGAAACTGGTGGGGACCCAAGCCAACAACACTCCTTTCTGGTTGCCCTATAATTTCCCTTTAGACACTTACTTCCATTAGGGGTTTAGATTTTCTTCATGTGGATGGCTTTCTCTGGAAGAAAAGGGTGGGAAGTGAATTCCAGCTTTCCTGGAATTCTGGGTACTTGATTCTTTAGCTCACATTTCTCACAGATTCAGGTCTCAGGTTCTCTTTCTGGTAATTTCAAAGCTGAAACTTATCTTGATGAAGGAGAGTCCCAGTCTTTGTGATGGACCAGGGTGGGAATAGGAGCTCCCTTTCAGTGTGGGAAGGGTAAGAGAGCTCTGATGGGCACCCCAGACCCACAGCTCCTGATAAACACCCTCCTTGACCAAACCTTAGATAGGCTTCTCTGAGTCCTTTAAAAAAAATTTTTTTTTTTAAATTGATTTCAGAGAGGAAGAGAGAGAGGGGGAGAGAGAGAAACATCAATGATGAGAGAGACACATTGATTGGTTGCCTCCTGCATGTGCCCTGACCAGGGTCAGGGATGCAGCCTGCAACAAAGGTATGTTCCCTTGACCAGAATTGAACCCAGGACCCTTCAGTATGCAGGCCAATACTCTATCCCCTGAGCCAAACTGGCTAGGGCTCTGAGTCCTCTTTTTGACTAGGCTTATCCTGGGCCCTAAGTCAGTCTTAGCAAAGAATCCTGCTAAGGAAGTCATCCCCCAGTCTTTGATATCTGATCACGTTCCTTATCATCCACTTGTGATGTCTCAATCCTTGGCCTGCCTTTAGCAAGAATCCTGTTAGGTCGGTTAAGCAAGTATCCCCCCTACCCTTGATGTTTCCTCTTAGCAGTTGTCCATCCACTGACTCCTCTGCTGTCTTTACTGTATTCGGAGTTGAACACAATTACTCTCTTCTATTTCATGACCCCTATTGCAATAATTTTGAATAAAGTCTTCCTTACAGTTTTAACAAATGTCAGAATAATATTTTTTAACAGTCCTAATCATGACCCTTGGTTGTATCCACTCCCCTTAGCAAGTGCAGAAAGCATAGATCTTAGGATGGGGGAGGCTTGTGGGATTTAGGGCTCCCAGAACAGACTCAATGGCCTCAGAGCCCAAGAAGTCATGGAGATCACAAGTGTTTTCCGTTTATTCTGCTGTGACATGGTGGAAAGGACACTAGACTCAGAGTCTAGCGAATGTAAGAAAGTTTTATTTTTAATAATACTATTAAGACTTCACTTGAGCTCAGACCCTAAGGAAAACAGATAATTTGTTCAGACTAACACATTCTTCCTATACCCTCTACCTCATATAATTCTACTTTCTTCCTGGAGTCCTAAGAATTATGTGTCAGATTCATAGCAGAGGCCACAAACTGTCATTGTTATGACCTGCTCTGGTGGATTCTCTGACAGGTTGTCAAATCTGTGGTCTTGGAGCTGGCTTGTGATGTCTTTGAAACTCTTCACTTTTTAAAAAAAACTCTAGAGGTAACTCCGTGCTAGGTTTACAACCTGGCCTCTCCTATGACTATAAATTCTATTTGGCACCGTGGGACTTCCTATTTATTAAAAAAACACGATTTAAATACAGTGTTGAGCAATATGGTACCTTGGCACAGAGTTTTCCAGCCCGAGGAGCAGGTTCCTGATTCTGTGAATCAGGAGGCTGGTCTTTATCACTCAAAAGGAATGGAAGAGTCATGGGTAGGGGCCCACCTGTCTATCATCAGAGTTGAAAGGCTGCTTGGGAATCACACTAGCATTTTTGAGAACTGAGTTTGCCTCAGACTCCTTATAAATACAGCTTGACTCAGCCCCGGTGTGACAGACACCTTTGGGACATGAAGTGGATACTGTTCTTTGGGGCCCTTATAGGGCCCAGCATCTGCGGCCGAGGGAAGTTTTTTGGGTAAGTTCCCTGTGGACTTATTATTACTGCTTGGTAAGTTCAGAGATACAGGAGACAGATGAATTTGGAAATGAATGGCTGATGATACTTCAGGCGGTTTGGCATTGAGAAAAAAGTTCTGGGCTCCAGTCCCAGCTCTGCCCTATGCCATCCTGGACAAGTTACTTGTCTTTCAGGCTCAATGTTACCTGTGAAATCAGGACTAGGTAGTCTCTGCAGCCCTCCCCAGCTCCCTAGCCTCCTGCCAACTATTTTTCTTCCTCGTTCTTATTTGTCCGGTCAGTTCCAGGCATCTCCTACTTTCTTACTGCTATATTATGAATTAACAAGAGTTACCAGAAATTGTTTCTAATTTCTGTCCTGCTTAAAGGAAAGCCTAGGTCTTAGGTGTCTTGGTTTCACCTCTCTGTTAACAGTGAAGGCTTAGTAGAGCTGGTGCTTTCTTGTTAGCAGCTGGGACATGGAGATTTGATAGGTCTTGCCTAGCCACAGCTCTGAAGATTGACACACCAGGGATACACCTGTACACTGTGTACACACATGCTCCACACATAATGCTCTGTGGTTTGCAAAGGAGAGGACATTTGGGAGGTAGGAGAGATGAAAGGATGCCATGGTACCCTGCTGGAAGATTGGATTCTAATAACTCATTACTGCATAAATGCTTTGCCATTTGCAAAAAGCTTTAGCGCGCCTTATCTTTTGGATTACACAACAACTCTGACAGGCAAGGGTGTTATTTTCCTTAATTTAAACATGAAAAAACTCAGCTTCAGGAAGATTAAGAAACTCGCCCAAGGCCACTTAGCTGGTAAGCAGGGGAGCTGGAACTCTGAATGCAAAAACCATACCCTTTGCTGTAACACAAAGTAATCAGATAGAATCCTATATCTCACTGATCTATCTACATCTACCTGCTCACTCTATTATGCTATCTGGCTAAAGGGACTTTGGGGTTGTTTGCTGTGGTAATTACATTAGGCCCCCCTTATTTGTGAGGGATGCGTTCCAAGACCCCCAGTGGATGCCTGAAACCACGGACAGTACCAAACCCTATATAGACTATGTTTTTTTTCTTATACATACATACTTATGACACAGTTTAATTTATAAATCAGGCACAGTAAGAGATTAATGATAATAACTAACAATAGAACAATTATTACAATATGCTGTAATAAAAGTTATGTGCCTGTGGTCTCTCCCTCTCAAAAGATTTTATTGTGCTGTACTCACCCTTCATCTTGTGATGATGTGAGATGATGTGAAGAGATGAAGTGAGGTACTCAGAACGGTGTGTAATTGAAAATGTATGAATTGTTTATTTCTGAAGGTTTTCATTTAATCATTTCAGACGGCATTCTTGGGTAACTGAAACCAGGAAAAGCAAAACCCCGGAAAAAGGGAAACCACTGTACTTACATGAAATTGAGTAATTTTTATGGTGTTGACTTCTGCTCACACCTGGTCTCTACTGCCAAATAGCTTCGAGGCGTTAGGCCCAGCAGGTGGCCAGGTAGGGAGACTTTTCCTCAGGCCGTTCCTGTTCCATGTAATAACTAACTTGCTGTCAAGCGGACTGACACCTGGAGCTGTTAGGCTCCTGCTGCAGCTATCCAGGTGGCTGAAAAATCTTTATTTCTCAGGATACAGACTTCTCTTACAATACAGGGGCACTGGGTTGAGACAGCTGGGCTGGGCCCTGGAGTCCTCACCACAGGAGTGGGCACAGAGAGTGTGCCTGGGCTCATTGCAGATGGTTTTAATCATTAGTGCCGAGCTCACCCCAAACGTGGTCTCACCCCATAGTACAGAACCCAGCAAAGGTAGCGGAATCCTTCCATAGACATGTCCCAGAAAGGGAACATTTAGGTGAAGGATAAAGCTGGCCTCTGAGCATTCAAGTGGATAGGAAGCCAGAGCACAGTTTGGCTTGGAGGGGGTACAATGCTGAGGAGATGAAGATGATGGTCCCCTGCCCCCTCAAAACCTCCACCCTAGGCTCTGTTCTTTCTACTCAACTCACCGACTTCCCTGGTCTGTCTCTGCTGGTATCTTCTGTCTTGGTCTTCAGTCATTTTAAGGATGGGAAGGTGGCCAAGATGCCTAGAGATGTGGAGCAGGCAGAGAACAGGAAGTAGTTGTAGAACTAGTTGCAGCATCAACTGTAGCTGGCAGGCATTTAAGAATTCTGGGCATCTGCCTCTCAGTATTCATGGTAGATGCTAAGCTTGGCTGGGGATGCAGCTAAGAAAGGTACAAAGACCAGGCCACTTGGGGAGGGACAGAAGCTCAGCACCCAGGGGACTATTGACTGTCCAGAACATGGGACAAGGGGATCACCAACCATTGTGTAGGCAACAGTGGGACAGCCCTGGGTATCGGAATGGACCAGAGTTAGCAAGAGCTGCAAGAATACCTGTGTGGAGTAGAGGGGTGAACCTGCATATCCCATCATATCTCCCTTCCCAGGCCAATCTTCCATAGTTAGAATGAGCTTAAGGTCTTCGAATGGATTTCCAGATGGTGGACATAGGTTGTGTCCAGCCACACACACTGGGAAGGGCATTTTCCAAATAGAGACGAGGACAATGAGGACAAGAAAAAGGCTGCCCTTCACCTGGCGCCCACTTACGTTCCAGGTTTTGATGGACTTATGTTTATGGGAATAATGTTAAACAAGCTTTCCCCCCGCAATCACTCTAGGTAGGGAAAACCTCATGGGTGATGGGAGTTGTCCTAAAGCCTGGGTGGGAGCTTGCTAGGTAACTAAGGAAAAGGGCTAGGGTCTAGGCCAGTGATGGTGAACCTATGACACGCGTGTCAGAGCTGACACACAAACGCATTTTTTTGGTTGATTTTTCTTTGTTAAATGGCATTTAAATATATAAAATAAATATCAAAAATATAAGTCTTTGTTTTACTATGGTTGCAGATATCAAAAAATTTCTATATGTGACACGGCACCAGAGTTAAGTTAGGGTTTTTCAAAATGCTGACACGCCGAGCTCAAAAGGTTCGCCATCACTGGTCTAGGCAGAGGGAACAGCATGTGCAAAGGCATAGAAGGGCAAAGTACATGGTGAATTTAGGATTTAATTGAGGCTGGAGCCAAGAAGGTATAGGACGGAGAAGTGGAGAAGAGATAGATAGGGAAGGACCCTACCAGCCCTTTGTCGATGTAAAAAATGTCCAAACCTGTAGAGAATTTTCATATAAGTTGTTCTGAGTTTATTTGAACCAAACGGATGACATGCCGGGAAGCAAGCTCTCAATTGCTCCAGAAAATGACAGTTTTTGCAGTTTCTTTTATATATTTGGAATTAAGGAGGAAAGGTAAGGAAGATTACATGAAGGCAGGGATTACAGGATAGTTAACAAGATTATGTGCTCCCTTGAGGGGTCTGAAGCAGAGACATTCAAAGGTGTGTTAACCTGGAGGCAGGAGAACAATGGACAAGGTTTGCTTTAGGTGAAGGTAAACCTGTTAGAGATCGGGGACGTGACTACCCACCAGGACTTGCCCCGTTAGGAACTGCTGATCAGATTATTCTCTGAGGTTACGTTTGGTTAGATTGCAGAGCCCCCTTTTTTGTCCACGTCTTCCCTGCTGCCTCTCTGAATACTACAGCTGTGTGTCTTTAACCTCTGTAGCTGGGCTGCTTCGGGCGTGATGACATGGGCTGCGAATTTAATCATCAGCGCCAGTGAGGTTCACTGTGACCCATTGTCATGGACTTCCAGGGGTATGGAAGTTCTGTGCTGAAGTAACCACTTTAGAAAAAGTAAAACAAATGCTCTGGGTGAATGTGGAACATGATTTCCATAGTTCTGAGAGCTCCTTATTTCTATGTTCCTCTCTTTCTCTCTTCCTGTTCTTTTTCTCTCCCCTTGCTTTGTGATTGCTCTTGTCAGTGCTGTATTTTACAAACGCCTAATTTGCCAGTATCAGCGCACAGGCACTTTCTAGAACACCACTTCTAAGACGTTCTTTTCCTGGAGTGTTGGGGGTGGGTTGTGACAGAGCCTGGGTTTGGCAGATGGGCCCTGGGAGTCAGCCAGGAGGAAGGATTTCCCTTCTGTTGTAAACCCTTCCCTTTTGGCGAGGCTGCCTGCCTGTGTCAGGGAAGTGGTGGTTTGACTCCTCATCCTCCCAGCAAGCCCATGCCTAGCAAGCCTGTTGGGTTCCCACTGAGAGCTGCCCAGCCCGTGGGGCTTCTCCTCTCTGGCCCCAGCAGCACCCAGGGACCCCATTAGCTGCCCACCTCCCAGGACCCTGCGGGGACCGGATGAGTTGGGAGGAAGTGGGCCTTTGGCACTGGCATTTCCTCCAGACCTGCCACCTGCAATGGACCATGCCTCCCTGGGCTGGACTAGACCTCCCAGAGATCCTGGAGAACCTCACAGAACAAAGTGACACCCTGAGAGTCCATCCGGATTGAGCTGGCTTTCTGATGAGGAGATGCCGAGCTGCCACGTGAGGCCGCACGTTTAGCTCCCTGTGACAGAACCATTTTCTCTGTCAACAGGTCCTTCAGCCCACAGCTCTCTCCACCAGCGCTTCCTGCATTCATTCGTGTCAAAGGGATGACGCATGTGACAGCGTTGAGTGCAGATTCATTCGGCCCGTCACCTAGCAACGGCCTAATGGCTCCCCTGGCTACTTGAGCCGGCTGAGAGCACAAAGGCAGCTTTTCAGGCTCGTCCTTCTCCCACCCACACACAGGACTTCGGGGGGCCTCTACCCCTGCTGCTGTCGTGGATGCTAAATGGTGTACATGAAACAAAGTGCAGGGCAAATGACCCAGGGGGGCTCGGGGCCGGCCGGCTCCCTCTGGGCCCTCTCAGGGCCCCCTTAGGAGGATTGAATCCCAAGTTCAGCCCCAGCACCTTGGCCTTTATCTAATTCAAATTTTTATAGGGTTCTGGAGCTGGACGAGATCAAAAGAGCACCCAGTCTCCCCCCTTTTGCTAAGAGGAAAGTAGCTAACCCTTCAGGGACGGGAGGTCTGTTCTCTTTTCCAGCTCTTTCCAGCATGGACCTTGGGCCAGAGTTTCTTTCTTAAAAAAAAAAAAAAAAAAGGAATTGAATTAAATTTTATTTTTTTAAATTGAATTTATTGGGGAGACATTGGTTCACAAAACCATACTCAACAAAACATCCTCTGCACACTGCATCGTGCGTCGGGCCAGTTTCAGTCTTCGCCCCTGACAGTGAAGAACTGCTTCTTTATGTCTTGAGTTAGCTTTGCGTGTAACTCAGGAACATTCCTTTCTGCAAAAATATATATGTTTTTCATTATAAAGTAATATGACCACATTACAGAAAACAGATACAAGGGGGGAAAAAGTCAGTCATCCATAATTCCACGACCCGAACATAAGCACTGTCAGCATTTGCTAGATTTCCGTTGTCTGTTTTTCTTCCAATGCATCTGCTTTTTCCATACTTGTGATCATGGCATACATACAATTCTGTGTCCTGCTCTTTCACTTAATATTTCCCTTAAAGTTATACCATAAGCACTTTTTCATATTAGCCACGTAGTCTTGTTTTTAATGGCTATACATTATAACCAAAGGCTAGACCATTTCCTCTCACTCGGCGCAATTATGTCTGGGATAGGAGGCTGGGGCTTATTTGCCAGCTGAAAGCTCACCATTATCTTTTGCGTCTCTCTCTCTTTTTTTTCTTCAGGGATCAAGTTTTTAGGATTAACGTCAGAAATGGAGACGAGATCAGCAAAGTAAATGAGCTAGTGAAATCAGACAACTTGAAGGTACCTGATTCTTCCTAATCCTCTTGGGTATCTTCTAATTTTGGTGGGAGTAGACTTGCACCACTGGCATCATTTGTGGAGTTTCTATCCTGGTCAATGTGCATTTCCAAGATGGCGAGCGTTGAAGGGGGCGAAGTGGCGTACATCATAACGGTGCTCGGAAGTGGGAAGCCTCAGCCGTGGGCTCCATCTTCCCATCTGCCATTGACTTATTATTGTTTCTTGGGCTCTGCCAGGTATTGCCTGCTGGACAGGTCTGACCAGATACAGTTGTGAAATAGACAAAGTTTACCTTCTTGGGCAGAACCCAGCTCCTCAGGGATCACCCTGTCTTTTGGCAGTTGTTCTAGAAGAATGAGCTAACTCATTATGCCTTTTACCTGAACTGTCCTTTAACCTGGTTTCTCTCTGTTATCTTCAGCTCAGCCTCTGGAAATCTTCCTGTTCCTTGGGTCACCCTGTGGATGTCCTGGTCCCGGCTGTCAGTCTGCAACCAGTCGAATTCTTCCTCAAGTCCCAAGGCCTAGATTACTCAGTGACAATTGAAGACCTGCAGGTGGGTAAACCAAGGCTCCTGACTTGTCTTGCATAAGACAAAGCAGCCAGAGTGGACCTGAGGCACATTTCCAAGTTCTGGTCTTATTTTTCTCCATTTTACAGATGAAGACATTGAGGTTTATGGCAGTAAAGAGCACTGACTTGTTAGAGGCGCATGTTGTGGTAGGAGGGGCATGGTAGGGTGGGGAACCAGACAGATCTGGATCCAAATCCTGATTTTGCCAACTACTATTTTTGTGACTTTGGACACGTTTTTAACCTCTTGAACCTATTTCTTCATTGGTAAAATGTTAATAGTGATAACTACTTGGTAGGATTTATTGAGAAAAGTGAGTAAGTGTATGTAAAATGCCGAACAGCGCCTGGTATGTCAGAAATGTCCACAAGTGTTAAGTCTCTCTCCCTTTCCTTATTTGAAGTCAGGAGGGAAGAACAGAGTAGGGCGGGTGTTGGAGACCAGTCATAAAAAGCATCCTTTGAGAAAGGGGGCATGTCACCAACAGCCCCCAGCAGAGGGAACACCACCACCCTAGCCAGGCACCCGTCTCACGACCTGTATTTAAACAGCGGGACGGTGTCTGGCTCGTGTTCTCCCCTTCACCGAGGTAGGTTATGGACTAATTGGTGATTTGGCCCGGGAGTTTCCTGATGGCGAGAGCAGCTGTGAGCTTATTAATCATCCTCACATGTCATAGACATCTGCCAGGAGCCTTCAAAGTATGAGTGGTTATAAGAATTTCTTTGTTTCTGAATGGTTTCCCAAGCTGTGTATTTCAGAGGCACTGGATACCAGATGCGGGCTCATGTCTAGAGAATTCATAGTATCGAGTAACAAAATAGCATATATATTGCTTCCAGGGAGTGAGTTTTGAATGGGGTGATGTACAATGGGCCCCAAGGAGTAAGATTTTATAGATACATGGAAGATATCCGACCTCCTTTACATCTTGGCTTTTGGGGTGCTTGATCTTTGTGCCAAAGGTGCCGCCATCTTGGCTGGCTCATGGACCACGACATGGCAGAAACAACGTGCATCTCCATCTCCAACGGACCACTTCACCGTGTTGCCGTCTCTGTTTTAGGCCCTTTTAGATAAAGAAGATGAAGAAATGCAATACAACCAAGAGCAAGAACGGAGCAGTAATAACTTCAACTACGGGGCCTATCATTCCCTGGAAGCTGTAAGTGTTTCAGAGCAGGTTAAGATCAAGGTTATCGGCCTCCTGGGTTTTGTGACCCCTTTCCTCACTTCCAGGAGGTACTCATCCTCAGCACGGCATCCCTTCACTGTGGGGCTAAAATGTGTGCACTTGGATTCCTTTCTAATTCTTGGGTTGTTTAACGCTCACCAGCACCTAAGGGCATAGCGAAAAGACAAACCACATTTTCTCCCACATGCATCCTTCTTCTCTTAACAACCCCTTAAAGAAAGCAACCCCTTAATGAAATAATGGCAATCACTTCCAGTGCTTGTAAATTGATCTTCTTGTACCCCATCATAATCCTTGTATTTTATTCACCTATGTTAAAATATTACTTATTCTAGGCAAATAGATAAAGTGATTCTTTCAAGGTTAACCAAGTATTTCCACTCATTTATCATGACTACTGAGAATATGTATTTGTTCCATAGTGCATTTTGGTGCTGTGTTTAGTTAGAGACCACTTTATATAGATGACTGACTTTCAAGGTAAGCCAACCCTTCACATGCAAAACTTGGAGCAGAATAATTGAATACGATTAATTGGAACTCGAGGAATCAAGAGGAACTAATAGAATGGAATTGCATCACATACAATACAGTTCTCTTATGTGCCTCAGTGTCTTCTTCCTTAATCTGGAAACTACTAGCTTCGGATCACACGCCAATTTAAATTGGTATTTGCCTTCCTATACCTCAATGCACGTTGCTCTTTATATCCAAAGATGGTGCTCCTGGCATGCTGGTCATGGGGCGTATACTTTGAGTTGTTTTTCTTCTAGTGAGGGATTATTTCAAGGCTGACCAACTGTTTGCACTTCCTTCCCAGGATTATCAGTAGCTTTGTTTATTGTGTACACTTCCAACTGCATCGCCCCTTGATCCTTCTTGTGACCAATGACATACATCTGCACAACAGCTGGACTAAGTTAGGAGTTCAGACCAGGGCCACAAGCGAAAGCAGAGCTCAGGTCCAAACAGGGATTAAGCCCATGATGTTAGCTTCAGCAACACCGGGCACTCCCTCGCTGAGCTAACCGGTTGCAAATGTCACCAAGACCCTGGGAACATCATCGCCCGCTTGCCTGCTGCGGGAGCCTCACTTCCTCATTCGCTGGCTTTTGGTTTTTGTTCCCTGGAGTTAGGTGCCATTGTTACCTGTTTTACAGATATCTCTTGTTCCCTGAGAGGCCTTTTACTGTGGATTGGTGTACCATCATCTCCTCCTGGCTTGATCAGATTCAGTTTTGTTTTTTCTTTCTTCTAAAAACAGCTTTTAAGCCGAAAACCGGTTTGGCTCAGTGGATAGAGCGTCGGCCTGCGGACTGAAAGGTCCCAGGTTTGATTCTGGTCAAGGGCATGTACCTGGGCTGTGGGCACATCCCCAGTAGGAGATGTGCAGGAGGCAGCTGGTCGATGTTTCTCTCTCATCGATATTTCTAACTCTCTATCTTTCTCTCCCTTCCTCTCTGTAAAAAATCAATAAAATATATTAAAAAAATAAGGGAGGCCAGGGGATTGTCAAGGGCGGGGGGAAAAAAGGAGAAACAAGTAATACTCTTTGTAATAATTTAAGCAATAAAAATATATATATAAAAAAAATATATATATATTAAAAAAAATAAAAACAGCTTTTAAGAGCTCATCTCCTACAACCACTTAGGTCTTAGTTCGCTAGTGGGGATTTCATGTTTGTTTCTGCCAGGGTTTCTAGTTTCAGGCCATTTGTGTGTGTTGGGGTTGCTGTTATTTTTGTTTGTTTCTCAGGTGAGTTTCTCCCTTTCCAGTCTGGACTCATGAGGCCGTTTGACTTTTCCTGGGTGACTCTCTTTCCTCTCGTGGCTCAGGGTAGGCATCCTGCTTTCGCTCCACTTTCTAGGGTCAGTGGATAGAGTTTCCAGGCCCTTTTCATGGCCCAGTTGCCAATTCCCAGCTCTCAAGTTCTATCTCCTTGCCCCACACGTCCTGTGCCCTCTATTCCCACTCCTGCTTTGCTGTAAACCCTCAGCGGCTGAGGCAGATGTGTGGGCTTCATCTCTGCCCTCCACTCTGTCAGCTTGTTCTATGAGTTAAACTCTATTTAACTCATTCCTAGCCACGATCGACAGCTCTTCACTTGTTCTCTTAAAGCCTTTAGAGGAATCACCTCCAAACGGAGTGCCTGTCCACTGGAATGCAGGAAGAAACTATTACCACTTCTACTTATATTTCTACATATGTATAGCGCATGCTAATATATATAGTTCTTAAATATATTTTTATTGATTTCAGAGAGGAAAGGAGAGGGAGAGAGAGATAGAAACATCAATGATGAGAGAGAATCATTGATTGGCTGCCTCCTGCATGCCCCCTACTGAGGATCGAGCTCGCAAACCAAGCATGTGCCCTTGACCGGATTCGAACCCAGGACCTTTCAGTTCGTGGGCCGACGCTCTATTCACTGAGCTAAACCAGCTAGGGCCATGCTAATATTTTTTTTACTAATGGAGAAAGTGATCAAAAAAGTTTGGAGAGTTCAAGAACCTGGGCTAAACTGGGCCACGCTGTTGATCCAGTCCAGTATGGTCCAATATTGGAGCAGTGGACTAGTTTAGTGGACTATAATTTTGTGGATGGATACAAATGTACTATTTTCTAGAAAATTGTAGAAAAGGACTCTTTAGGCAGTTCTTTAAGAATAAGCATTCCTGGAACTCTACGTAAAATTGTCAGTGTTAAGCTCATGGCCATTCAGAAGGGAAGAGATCCAAATACAGGCACAGGACATACTTTTTGTGAGAGAATTGATCAAAGTGATTATTCGGACCATACACAGAAGACAACCAAGGATGAGCTATTGAGTTTATTAAAAACTATTGATAAGGATCCAAAACTGTCTGCCAAAGAGAAGAAAAAAATGCTAGGTCAGTTCTATAAGTGTCACCCAGACATCTTTATTGAATATTTTGGAGACTAAATTTCTAATGTCTGTATATAACTTGTGTTTTTTAAGAATTATGTATCCTAAAGACCCAATCACATTTGTAATTTTGAATGTTCTTCTAAATATGAAACTGTACTTAATAAAACCTTTTTGTATTAAAAAAAAAAGAATAAGCATTCCATGCCAATTGTATTGTCAACCCCATGGTTAGGAGGCTGGAAGAGATCGTTAAGATCATCAACATAAAGTTCACAGATACCTACCCAGAGCTGAACAAATTTTTAAAATGCCTCTCCGTTCACTTTCTCACGCTTCAGATTTACCAGGAGATGGACAGCATTGCTGGAGACTTTCCTCACTTGGCGAGCAGGGTGAAGATTGGGCATTCGTTTGAAGACCGGCCAATGTATGTACTGAAGGTAAGGCCCATGTTCTTTGAAGGGCCGAACTAGACACGGGCTCCTGGTTCCTTGTGCCCAGGACCCAACGATCAGGCCTCTGCTGGGGGCAGCTTCTTAGGACCTCCTTGACTTTAGGGAGGAGGGTGAGGTTAGAAGACATCTATCAGGGTTCAAATTTGGTCAGACAGGCAGTCTCCTACGTGCGCATTCTCATTCCAGGTTTCGACTAAAAGGCAAGATTAAGGGGATGTCTTGGGGCGGGCAGAGGTTGTGGTGTGGGCGTGGGGCTGGAGGAGGTTAGTATTCTAGAAAGCTCTCACTACACACAGTCTTCTTCCTTCAGTCCCACCTTCTGTAAACAGCAAGACAAATTGGGATAGTTCTACAAATTCCATCCTGCTTCTAGGAGTGCTTATTTGAAAAGCAATCTAGGAAGCTAATTTTAGGGCTGATGTAATTTTAAGCCCAGCCTCTGATCCTTGGCTGACACAAAGCCTAATTTCTAGGTATTTCCAACAGATTCAGGTCTATTTTGGCAGAGGAGGTAGATAATTTATGGCAGTAACATAAATTACATAAATAATCCAGCCGAATGAATAAAAAAGAATTTGGAGATGTGAACGACTGAGGATGCTAAGAACTTGTCAACCTCTAGCTACATATCAGCCCCGAAGAACCCAGCTTATAGCAATGGGTAAATTACCAGAGGAGGAGACCTGCCGCCGAGCTGTTTGCTAAAATAACCTTCACAAATTTAGAATATTTGCCCATCTGATGGAGACCCTGGCTTCATTAGCACCGAGCTCTGTCAGGTAGGGGAGGGGGCATGAAAAGGCAAGACCCAGAATTCATTTAGTGCCATTTACAGAGAGCTAGAGTGAACCCCCTCTTCCTCTTTTTTAAAACTGAATTCATTTATTGCATCAACCAGAACGGGCTGGTTCAGGCACTCTTGTCTCTCTCTGTTGGGATACCATTTGAGGTTTTTCAGGAGACACAATATTATCTCTAATCATACCGGCATTAGTTCACAATAGCAATTGTTTCCCTTCCCCATTTGCCTCCAACCCTGGAGCTGCGGCTGGGCCCGCCAGCCAGCCAGCCAATTAAGTTCCCCAGTCACTGATAAACTGATAAATAAATGGTGACCTCAGGAACATTTGGTCTCTGAATTGTCTTAAATTGATTCAGTGACTAGGAGCGAGCTGGAGAGAGGCGAGGTGGGCTGAGAACGGGGTCAGGAGGGTCATTTTCTGGTCTCTTTTTCCTTCCACAGTTCAGCACTGGAAAAGGCAGTCAGCGGCCGGCCATTTGGCTGAACGCAGGCATTCATTCCCGGGAGTGGATCTCACAGGCCACGGCCATGTGGACTGCGAGGAAGGTCATGTCCCCTGGTATTAGGCGAGAATTCTGGTGGCCCGGGTGCCCCTGCAGCCTCCCATGAAGCTGGGCCCAGGGGATAAGGTGGGAAGGCACAGTAGGCCGGGGGGCCTTTTCATTTCAGAGAAGCAAAAGGGCAGAGCCCCTTGGTCAAGACTCTGTGGCTAAAGAGTGCATTCGTGGCAGAGGGCAAGCTAATGAGCTGCAGAGGTGGCCCTGAAACACTGACCCATGGTCAGCCCTGCAGAAAGGGAGCAGGGCCTTGCCAGCAGCAACACTCAGATGAGCTTTGCCTTTAGCCCTTTGCCAGCCCCCCAGGCCCTCAGGGACCTCACGCTGTCTCCATGTCCCACTGGGAAGCCCTCTTTGAGCCAGCACTGAGAGGAGGGGGCGTGTGGGTGGGGAGGATCCATCTTCCCTACCCCTAGCAGGGGGGCTCAGATTCCTAATAACTGTCATGATGTGTGGCTCTCTGCTCCCCTGTCCCACCCCCTGGAAAGAGAGGATAAACCAGGCAGCCCAGGACCCTGCAGGTGGTGTCATCATGCAGCCAGGCTCCCGCAGGCTTTCAAGTGCTCTGAGAGCCGTGTCTTCGATGGTGACAGGGAGGCTGCGGAGGGTGGATGGGCATCTGGGGAAGATACACAGGCTCAGACCTAACAATCCAGCCTTCAAGGGCCTCGCTGACACATTTATTATCCCTGCTTAGATTGTCTCTGATTACGGGAAGGATCCAGCCATCACCTCCATCTTGAAGAAAATGGATATTTTCTTGTTGCCTGTGGCCAATCCTGATGGATATGTACACACGCACACTGAAGTGAGTAATACCAAGTGGGCTGCTTGGAGTTAGGACTTGTTTGCTGAATTCCTTGCTTTGCCACTAAATAGTTGTATGACCTTGGAGAAAATTTCCACCATGTGCATGTTATAAGCTCCCTTGGGGTCTCATTTTCTAGTCATTCTCTGAGCTGAGACTCACCAGGGAATATTTTTTTCTTAGAGAGAACAGTCTAATGAACTTCCTACATAGATCTTGAACAATTATCAACACCTTACCAATCTCTTTCATTTCTTTCCCTCCCACACATTTTTTTCCTGATGTATTTTAAAGCAAATCCTAGACATCAGGTTATTTCACCCAAAACTTCTTTAGTACACGTCTCTAGCTAATGTAGTTAAAACCAAGAAAGCACACCTGCCACTATCACCTTTTAAAAAGTAATGGAGCCCTAGCCGGTTTGGCTCAGTGGATAGAGCATCGGCCTGCGGACCAAAAGGTCCCCGGTTCGATTCCGGTCAAGGGCTCCTACCTCGGTTGCAGACTCCTCCGCGGCCCAGGCTCTCGTCAGGGCTCATGCAGGAGGCAACCAATCAATGTGTTTCTTTCACCTCAATATTTCTCTCTGTCTTTCCCTCTCTCTTCTGCTTTCCCTAAAAATCAATGGAAAAATATCCTTGGGTGAGGATTAACAACAACAACAAAAAAGTAATGGAAATTATTTAAGCCAATTTGTTGCAATTAGGATCTAAATGAGATTTGATCCTGCATTTTAAAAAATATATTTTTTTATTGATTTCAAAGAGGAAGGGAGAGGAAAGAGAGATAGAAACATTAATGATGAGAGAGGATCATTGATTGGCTGCCTCCTGCATGCTCCCTACTGGGGCTTGAGCCCACAAACCAGGCATGTGCCCTTGACCGGGAACCGAACCCAGGACCCTTCAGTGCGTAGGCTGACGCTCTATCCACTGAGCCAAACCAGCTAGGGCTAATCTTGCATTATAAAAAAAGATTTTTAAAATTGAATTTTAGAGAGAGGGAGAGGGAGAGAGAGAGAGAGAGAGAGAGATACATCAAAGTGAGAACGACATCGACCTGCTGCTTCTTGTCCCTCACCTTCCTGCCCCCTACTGGGGATGGAGCCTGCGGCCCTGCAGGAATCGGGAATTGAACTGGCAACCTTTTGGTGCATGGGATGATGCCCAGCCAACTGAGCCACACTGGCCAAGGGCCTATACCTATGGCTCTGCAGACTTTTTAATTCCTTAACAAGTAGCACTACTCCCCACCTTCCCACCCCTGCAACACACACATACTTATCTTTTAAAAAATATCATTAATTTTTAGAGAAACCAAGTAAATTGTCCGGTGGAATGTTTCACATTCTGAATCTGCCTGATGGCTTCTTGTGTGCCATTTAATTTGTTCTCTTATTTCCGCATTCCCTGTTTTCTGGTAGTCAGATCTAGAGGCTTGGTTGGATTCAGATTAAGTTTTTCAGCAAGAATGCAATAGTTGTGCACTTCCTATCATATTAGTGATCATTCAGGTGCAGAATGTTCATTTGTCCCAGTTTTACCGCAGCCAAAAATTATTCAGTGGGTTCAGGTGCTGTCAGCCTGGTTCTTGCATTATAAAATTCTCACGAGGGCATTTTGGGGGAGTCTTTCTCTCAGAACCAGAAGGGCTCAGCCTCCTCTTTTTGGGGTGAGAGGACAGGAGCCCTGATGATTCTCCAGAGAGAACTGTAAGCAGCTCACCCCACCCATGGTGCCCATTTCCATCTGTGGTCCCCAAAGAAAACCTTCACCTTTCTTGTGCTCTGGCTTATCTCTGGATGTTTGTTCCTTCCTTGGTGGATTTTTCAGAACCGACTTTGGAGGAAGACACGGTCCCTACATCCTGGAAGCCCCTGTATTGGTGTTGATCCAAATAGAAATTGGAACGCTAGCTTTGCCGGTAGGTTGGGGAGCTGGTGTTCAAATCCTGCTACCCCTGGGTAGCCTGGTCCACAGGGCTCCAAGCTGGCAGAGCGGGGGCCGGGTTCCAGGCTGGCTCCATTGCTGATTCACTGAGAGACGGGCGAATCCCTTACGCCCTCCCCTCTATGTCTCATTTTTTGGTTGTGTTTAAAAAGAAATTTTTTTTGTGTGTGATTTTGAAAGGCAACAACTTAGCAATTTCTGTCCTCCTGAGAGAACACTAATATTTCAAAACCATCACAGTCTGAGATATACACAACCATGCCTCTTCCTCATACCCTGGCTGCCCCAGCTTGTCCTGGGCGAGTTACTGGGTGGGTGGAGGGGTCCTGGAGGCAACTCAAAAGAGAGCAATTAGCACTTTTATTTTTGGTTTTGCTTTGTTTTTTAATCCTCACCTGAGGATATGTTGTTTTTTTTAAAAATTAGTATTACTGATTTTAGAGAGACAGAGAAACATTGATCGGTTGCCTCCCATATGGGTCTGACCAGGGATTGAACCAGAAACCTGGGATGTGCCCTGACCTGAATTGAACCCGCCACCTTTTGGTGTGCGGGATGACGCTCCAACCAGCTGAGCCACACTGACCAGGGCAAGCATGTTTCTGTAACAGACAAGATCTTGTGGTCTATCCTTAGATATATACATATGGGATGGAAAGAGAATAAGAATTAGGACACTTGGGTTGTAAGTTCCTCCTGTTTAAAATCACTCTCACAATCTTGCCAACTGTGTGTCACGTACTTTCCCCAAAATTATTTTATTTACAATTCTTCCGACCTAGTGAGTGAATTTTATTATCCGAAATGAGATAGTGGACAATCTTAAGAGTTTATGGTTGAGTTAGGATCTAAACTCACCTTACAATTCCAAATCCAAATAGTTCTCTTTCACTGTTCCACAGATGTTTTGTTCTTAATATAGTTCTTTTACTTGCCTAGAAATACCACACCAACCAGTGGGGGGAAAATAATGTGACTGGGAAAGGAGCCGATAAAAAATTAGGTCAGCTATCCCACAGCTGGAGTGGTTTTACACACCGGATACCTCAGGGAACTATATTGTGAAGTAATATTGAAGACAGTATTTCCAACACCTGACAAATAATCAAGAGATTTTAGCCACAACAATAGATTATTTTGGCAGTGCTCTGCCATTAAGATCTGAACCAAGAGAACAAGTTGACACCAGAATAAATGGAGTCATTTTCATTATTAATTGGTATTCATATTAATTATCTAGAATACTTATTAATTACATCTCATTGTCAAGTGTGATATTAATTATTCATGACAATTGTTAATGATACAACACAAGGTCAACTACCCTTTTAAAGGAGCTCTGCCAGTTTTCTTTCTCAGCTGTGGCAGACCTAACACCCCGACATTCCACTCCTGCACCTCAGTATACACACACCATGGGCTAGCAGCATCTAACAGTGACCTGTCCATTGCCAATACCTTCCATCCATCCTTTGGATTGTGGATCCTTCATTTCTGTCTTTTTGGCCTATGGGTTAATGTTTCTGCTTGGGCTGCCCCCAACAGGAGGGGGAGCCAGTGGCAATCCTTGCTCCGAAGTGTACCATGGACCCCATGCCAATTCAGAAGTAGAGGTGAAATCGGTGGTAGATTTCATTCAAAAGCACGGGGATTTCAAATGCTTCATCGACCTGCACAGCTACTCGCAGCTGCTGATGTATCCGTATGCGTACACAGCCAAGGAGGCCCCGGATGCTGATGAGCTGGTGAGTAATGGGCTGCCTTCCGCCCAGCCCCAGGCCTGCTTTACCTTCAGCTGCTGCCAAGGTGGTTGCTCTACAGCTTTATAGGGAAAGTCTGGGAGCCTGGGCTTATTTCTTTAAGGGGCCAGGCTTCTTTCCCTGCCCATCAGACCTACTGGGGATAGGAAGCAGGTGGTGCCCTTATTTCTGTGTTTGCTGTGACTTCCAAGAACCACACCTGATCCTTGTCTTTCCTTCTCACTTATTGTTCTGACCAAAACTTATGGCAGACCCACTGCTTGCCAAGAGCTGGGGTGGCATTGTGTTGGGCGAAGGGGAGGTGCTCCTCACTCCAGTTAAGGTGGAGTTTTAGTAGGGTGTAGGCCACAGCGTAGGGGTGCTCTGTGTCTCATGCAGTGACTCACCCTAGGATGTGAACAGGCACGGAGGGTGGACTGATGGAGCTGGGTTGGCATCTGCAGAGTGACTGCAGGCCTCTCCCCCTGTGCTGGTCGGCTTCCACATGCCCCTCTGCCCAGGCCATAGCTGGCCCATAAACCTCCCAGCAGGCACAGGGCTCCTGGCTTGGTGTGGGCAGATTCTGGTCTCAAGTAGGCACTTTGCATAGGACACATCTACACTGAGTGGCCAGATTATTATGACCACCCCATCAGTACAATGAAGTGAATTAGTTATGCAAATAATAATACTAATAATAATAATAAAACCTTGAGAGTATTTGCTTAGGAAGTTTTCAATATTCAGTATTTTTGGAAGTGTCAATGAAGTACTGATGGGGTGGCCATAATAATCTGGCCACTCAGTGTATATATGGCAGCCCCACCGCTACCTTCACTCTGGAATACCCAACTCTTAGAAGGTTTTCTCTTGAACATACTTGGCCTCACCTCATGTTCATGAACTTGACATTCCCTTCCCTTAGGGTAGGTGAAGATGGTGGTGCCTGTAACTAGATTCCCAATGGGCTGGTGAGCAGCCCTCCAGGTCTTTGGAGAGCTGGAGGGTATAATACACATGCTTTCAGAATGCATATGCGTCTTTTTTCACCTCCTTCTTTACCCCCTCCCCCAAACTAGTAGTAAAGAACTGGGGTGTGATGGGAGATGGAATTCCCCTCATTTTGTAATCAGCCTTATCTTGAGTTGATTGGGAAAGAAGAGGAGACCAGAAGGGAAAATTGGGGGAGCAACTGAGAATCTTCCAGACCATTACAGTGCAGAACAGCTGAGGAATGTCAGACTGCGGGATCCACTCTTTCTCATTCCGCTGACTCCCCTTCCTAGGACGAGGTGGCGAGGCGTGCGGCTAAAGCTCTGGCTTCCCTGTCTGGCACTCAGTACCGCGTGGGTTCTACCGCTACCACTGTCTGTAAGTATTTATTCTTTATTTAAAACAGGCTTTGAGAGGAAACTTGAGATGGAGCAGGAGAAGAGCAGCAAGTTAGACTTCCTCCACCGTAATCTGATTGTGTTTTTAATAGACTAAAGTTATGTCAAACCTGTGTGGTAATAGCTGTTGCTGGCAGTCATCTTCATCAACATCATCCCTACTATCTCATGCCATTTATCATGTGCCCATGATGACTTGCCTGCCGGGGTGGTGTGGTCTGCATTCCTTATCTTCCATTACAGATCCTGACATGGTTTATCAAAAATTCATCAAGCCCAGCATTCCATTTTCTTTTTTTCCTCCCTATCATTCCATTTTCAATGGAAACCCACATCTGAATGGGCAGACTCCGGTGGTGGTAGTCGGTGGATGAGACTCCTTCTCCTTGCTATCAGAAATGTACACGTGTTGGAACATGGCAGGGTGGGAACTGGGTTAGGCTGTCCTCCCAACAGTGGTTAGCATCAAGCCAGAAAAAGAGGAAAAAAACACACACCAAGACCCCAAATCTGAAGATGGTCTTGAGGCTCCACACCTACAACCTCAACCTCATTTTGAGGAAATACCTTTGTTTTGGTTTCTCACTGGAGTGTTTCATCTGAACAATTCACTCTATTCCTCTATTGCTTCCAGTCCCTATGTTTTGTGAGTCTGATTTCTAAATTAAAAAGATTGAAGAAAACGATCATTCTCCAAGACACCAGCTATAAATGGGAAATAAACATACAAATGTGGGGAGCTCAGCTCTGACCCCTTTTAAGTTAGTGTCCTTCTTTTCCCCGCTAATGCCTCCTCTGTAGTTTCCAACAGTTGATCCACCCTCAGAGCCCCTGAAGACTTGTTGATACTGGATTTGTTTCCTCTTCCGTACTGTAACCCACTCTCCCATTCTACCTGCTTTATTTTCCACTAGCTGTTCCCTTCAGTCTTCCTCTTCTGGGAAGATTCTTATTTATTTATTATTATTTTTTTATTGATTTCAGAGAGGAAGGAAGAGGGAGAGAGATAGAAACATCAATGATGAGAGAGAATTATTGATTGGCTGCCTCCTGCAAGCCCCTTACTGGGGATTGAGCCCGCAACCCAGGCATGTGCCCTTGACTGAATCAAATCCGGGACCCTTCAGTCTGCAGGTTGACGCTCTATCCACTGAGCCAAACCAGCTAGAGCTATGGGAAGATTCTTCATCTCACCTCCAAGGTCCTCTGATCTCAGCCCTCATCTGTGTTTCATAAGTCACAGTGCTGCATAAGGCAGTTAGCATGATGTTGGTGTTTGTGTTGCTAATTGCAGCAACAATTCATTAATTATTCATGCTTTATTATTATTAGTGTTGTTAAATGGGAACTCCTCGGAGAATAAACACATCGGGGAGTTTCTCCATCCCCTGATTAATTAGTCAGAATCGAGTCCTGGACCAAAGAGAGCTAAACAAACTGGGTAGGAACTCTCTGAGGAGGACCTTTCAAAAGTTGTTTGTGGGTCATCAGGATCCTGACTTCTGGGTCAAATAACCAGGTTAAAGAATGGCCTTGTCCTCTCACATCAAACGCATTCTTCTCCCCAGCTTAGCTGGGCCAAAATCACGAGATACTCATCAGATGCCTCCAACAGAAGAGGAGGAAGGCTCCTTTGAGTGTTGTCCAGGAGACATATTATTTCCTACCTCTTTCAAGAGCCCATCTTCTGTATTCATTATGGGCTTTGTCTGCCCTCCTTGCTTTTCAAAAATGTAATCAATTTTTGTATAATAACACTTGAACTCCATGGGTTATGGAATATGCTATACAAATGGTTGACGTTTGCCCTTTGAGAGCTGGACTTTTTCTTGGGCTTACCATTTTAGATGAAAATCATTCTAAAATGGAATTCACATTTTCTTGCCTTTTAAAAAAGATCATGTAGAAGAGATTTAAGCTCCTTTCTTTTTCTTTTCTTTCTTTCTTTCTTTATTTATTTTTTAATTGATCTTAGAGAGAGGATGGAAGGGAGAGAAAGAGAGAGTAACATGAATTGGCTGCCTCCCACATGCACCCCAACCAGAAATTGAAGCCACAACCTGGGTATGCGCCCTAACCCAGAATCAAACCTTTTGGTGTCTAGGACGATGCTAAAACCAACAGAGCCACACCAGCCAGGGCTAAGCTCCTTTCTTTATGACTCAGTGGCCTCCTGAATATCAATTGTTATATCCTGAAGGCCTACTGTGCCCTTTTGGACTAGTTAATCCCTCTGTTAAACGGCCCGGCCTGTTTTGCCTCTTTAATTCTGTGTCTGCTTTTTAGAGTTTTCATGTCTCCTTCCTCTGGTCAGACTGTACTGCTTTCAGGCCAACTGCCTCCAGCAACCCTTTCCTTTCCTCTTACTGATTTTGATCTACTAAGGGCTTGGAAACAAGTTCTCTGGGCTGGTTTGGCTCATTAGATTGTGGGTAGTAAGGATGGCCATTATGGCATTGTTTATCGTCACAGAAGACTGGTAACCCACAAAAGACTGCTAAGCATCTACCTGGCCATCAGTCGAGTGCTGGGGAAAAAGCACATTCGGTGCATTCATCAGTGAAACAGTCCTGGAGCGAATGAGGTGGGCCTATAGGTGCTAATAGGAAATAACCTTCAAATGTTAGTTAAGAAATACAGTGTACGGGACAGTGTCAATAGTATGATCCCATTTGTGTTTAAAGGAAAAAAAAAGAGTAGATAGACTTTGAAAAGGGACCCAAATAAAGTGAAGTTCATGAACTCGATCACTTTGCTCAGCAGAGGCCTTCTTGCCTCCTTCCTGAATTTTGAATGCTCTGAAACAGTTGAGCTTGCTGTGTATGTAACCTCTAGACACCTCTGGGGCCACGGCCTGTCTTTTTATTTGGCATTTTCTCAGGATGGAGAAAGGCTATGGAAACCGCACAAGGATTTCAGAGGGTGTAGGAGAGCATGTCCCATCCTGTCAGGGAGCAGGTACTCAGTGGAACCAGCATCTCTAGAACAATCACAAATGGCATCATGAAAACAACCCTCAGGAACAATGGAAAAACGAAAGGACCCATGTATTTATTTACCTGACATGTAACATACCACATGGACTAGAAGTAGGTTGAAGAAAGCATAGGCTCGATCACTAGATGGACTTGGGTTTAAATTCTGCCCTTGCCATTTTCCATCTGTATTTCCCTGGATACATTACCCATTCTAAGCCTGGGTTTCCACATCTGAAAAACAAGGACAATAATACCGACTCTCACTGGGGTTTTAAAGGTTGAATGAGATCATAAACATAAACTTTCCAGTATAATGCCTGGCTCCTGGTGGATGTGCAGTAAGCGATCACTGCTATTGGCATACTTAGTTTATTCAATGCCGTCTACACTTTTGTACTCTTACCCGATTTTTGCTCTGGTGGAGTTTGAGAAGAAGCAGGAAAACGGGTCTCTTGCTTTTGGCAGAGGGATGTTCCAAGGGCCGTGCTTTCTCCCTGGGTATCAGATATCTCTTGCTATGTAAAAAGTTATCCCAAAACTTAGCAGCTTAGAGCAAGACACATTTATTTTTTTAAACTGTTTCTGTGGGTCAGGAACTCAAGAGTGGCGTAACTAGGTGGGTCTGGCTCGAGGTCTCTCATGAGGTTGTGGTCAAGATGTCTTCCAAGGCTACTGTCATCTAAAGGCTGGACTAGGCTGGAGGGTCTGCTTCCTCCATGGCTCCCTCAGGTGCCTGATTATCGGGAGGCCTCAGTTCTTCACCACATGAACCTCTTTTTAGGGCAGCTTGTGTGTCCTTACAGCATGACAGCTGGCTTTCCTCAGAGCAAGTGGTCCAAGAGAGAGTGAGGTGAAAGCCACAGTAGCTTTTATGGCCTAGCCTCGATGGTCCCACACCTTCATTTCTGTAGTCTTTTGTTAGTTACACAGGTCAGGTAAGCCCTAATCAGTGTAGGGGGCACTATATAAGGCAGTGATGGCGAACCTTTTGAGCTTGGCGTGTCAGCATTTTGAAAAACCCTAACTTAACTCTGTGCTGTGGCACATATAGAAATTTTTTTGATATTTGCAACCATAGTAAAACAAAGATTTATATTTTTGATATTTATTTTATATATTTAAATGCCATTTAACAAAGGAAAATCAACCAAAAAAATGAGTTCGCGTGTCACCTCTGACACGTGTGTCATAGGTTCACCATCACTGATATAAGGATGTGACTATTGGGGGACAAGGATCATTGGGGCTGTCTTGGAGGTTGTCTACCATACTCGGTCTCGGTAGAGATTGGTTTTGCATGACCTGAAGGAGTCTATGGAATTAGTGACAAGCGGGGGATGAGGATTTAAAATCTCTTCATTTGAGACTAGTGAAGACCCTCATGGTGTAGACAGCCTGAGACATATGGATCAGGCCAATGTCTGTGTCCTAGGCCTAATGGTTTGCAGAAAGAACTCTGGGTCCCTAAAGAACCACAGGCAGGCAGAACTCCCGGCCCCTTCTCACTTAACCCTGAAAGAAACTGCGCTTCAAAGGTGTTTTCTCTTCTGATCTGCAGATCAAGCTAGTGGGAGCAGCGTTGACTGGGCGTATGATAATGGCATCAAGTATGCATTCACTTTTGAGTTAAGAGATACTGGGCACTATGGCTTCCTCCTGCCAGCCGACCAGATCATTCCCACTGCAGAGGAGACCTGGCTGGGGCTGAAGACCATCATGGAGCATGTGCGAGACCACCTCTACTAGATGAGGAGCCCGCTTTGTCTGCACTTACATATCCCCCACGTAGGTGCGCATGCTGAAGCCATATTAAAGGGAGATTGTTCCTTCACATGTGCCAGAGCCCTCTGGCTTTGGAGAGGACAGAGGCCAGCCCCTCTCCACTGCCCCTCCCTGAAGGTCCTACATTATGGTGGCACACCTGAGAGAAGGGCTTCTGTCACTTGCCATATTTTTGTCCTGTTGTTTCTCTGAACCCTTTGTATACCTTTCCTTGGGTCACTCTTAGGATCACCCCTTACTGGTGGCATGTCTCTACCTCATTTTTAGAACAAAAGGGTGTCTGAGATGGTTCTCTAACCTCATTCAATCTAGCCAAGCTTGTGACCTTGCTCTGGTGGGGGCCCCGAGGCAGCTGCTGTGGGAAACAATGCGATTGGTCTCAAAGATGATACAGAATGAACTTCCTTTAATTTCTCTCACTCCTTGAACATATTTTTCTTTGAAAAACAAATCCTGCATGGTCATCAGTATAGGTCATCTTTGGCCTCCCCGCTTTTTGTTTTTAAGTTTTTGGTCTGAATATAAAGTAGGTTGTCACTACTCATCACTGGGCCCCAAATTCCCAGATACAACAGTTCTGATGAGATCCTTTTTATTATTCAGTGTCACTGGGATCCCAGAAGGGCATCTGTGTCACTACAGGTACTGCTCACCCAGACACTCTGAATAAAGTGATGATCTAATAGCACTATTGCTAAATTATCCCCATCTGTCCTATGCGCTCACCTCCACTTCGCCTTTGAACTTACTTCAAAGATCTTGCCCTCACCCTACAAGTCCTAAATCACTCCCCTGGCCTGGATAATCTCACTGCCTTGGCACATTCCTGCTTGTGCTCTGGTACCTCGTGTTTCTTTCTTTCTTTTTTTGTCTTCTATTTTGCACCCTGGCCCATGAGTACCACGGAGGAGCCAGGCTTCATCAGTCAGGCTCCGCTTGTTCCATTCTGCCTTAGCGTGTTCCATCTGCACCTCCCCCACTTTTTTTTCTTTTTTCAAACATGTCTGTAAATCTTATCCTTCTGCCTAGGATTTGTGCAGCATCTGGTGTGTGCTCATAAGCCAATAAATATTCAATATGAGTCTTATGATTGTCTCCTATTCTTCACCTTTACCTGAATGGAAGCAAGCCACGGTTTTGAATATGCAGCTCTTTATAACGTCAAAAGTTCATTTTAATCTCTGTTCTTATCACATGACGTGTAGGAAGACCTTCTCCATCAGGTCGAGAGGCCCCCAGGGCAGTGTTGCCTTGGTGATTTCGTTCTGGTGGTGAGTCTAGTTCTTCGTTTTTCAGCTCAGAAGCTTGATATTCTCAGTGTCCGTGTTGATTAGACTCAGGGATGCTGACTCACGCCTACAGAGCTCAGATGAGGCATGTGATAAAACCAGCATACGAATTTATTAATTTACATTACGGCATATAACTATTTAGTGAATTGGATCCTCACGTCAGCCTGAACAGTACATTGTCTCCCTGTAGGCAACATACATGGGAAGCCAAATTATAATCAGAAGGTTGTTTAGTGAGCGGGCCATCAGAGCGAGGAAAGTTAATTACAGTCTATGATTAGAATTTTTAATGGTATCCAGCTCTAATACACAATATATCCAATTCTATAACCAGAACACACCTGCCAGCCAGCTAGCTGGTTGCTTGTGCTGGCTGGTCAGGGCTGCCTGCGACCGGACAGTGCCTCCTTAGGCATGACAGTACTTGCCTCTGTGACTCACCTGTAACCCAGCTGCATTTGTGCCCACCCACCCCCACCCCAAGATGGAGATTGTCCTTTAGATTCCTTAAACAAAGTGTAAAAATCCATAAAAAGAATACCTGCAACTATAATAATATTGAGAACATCTGTTTATTAAAAGACACCATACAGAAAGTTGCAAAGTAGGAGAAGATATTCACAATATTCAAAATACACACAACAGATAAAGGCCAGATAAAGGATTCCTACAGATTAATAACATTATAAATAATAATCCGATAGAAGAATGGCCAAAATATAGGAGCAAGCATGTTACATAAGAGGAAACAGGTATATCTGATAAACATACGAAGAGATGATTATTGATAGAGGACATATAAATCAAGACCATGATGAGATTGCCATTTTATACTCCTTTAATTTACAAAAGTAAAAAATGTGGGAGAGGGTGTGGATGATAGCGCTCATATACGCATTGTTGGTGAGCATGTGAATTAGTAGAAGCACTATGGAAAACAGTTTGGCATTACCTCCCAGAGTTCATACCTTATGATCCAGTTATTCTATCCCAGGCACCCCCCCTCCCCGTTCTTGCACATATATGACAGGAACACAAATGGGGATGTTCATAGCAACACTGTTCATAATAGCAACAACCCCCAAATGACTCAAAAGTCCACCAGTAGGAGAATGGGTGAATAAAGTATGGTATTTTCACATACTGAAATATTACACAACAGTCAAAATTTAGTGTGATTTTCTTTCTAGAAAGTTCCAGATAACTGAAAAATGTATGTCTATACATACTTTTAAGGAAGGTATACAAAATTTGATAAAATGGCATAAAGAGGGAAGCAAGGTGTAGGAGAAGTGCCCAGAGCCCCTTTTCCCGGTCAAGTGCACTGATCCCTAGTTGCTATGAGTGTTGGCTGCCAACAGCTCAAGGCTCTTCCCTCCTCTGGAGAATTGCCCTTAGCCAACTGGGGCTGCCTCACCCAGGAGGCTGTGCACCTGCTTTCCCTATATCACCTCCCCAAAGGTCAGTCAATGACTGACTGACTTGGAGCTACAAAGAGTTAGTCTTTTGCCTCAAGGTGGGTTAATGCTATAGGGCAACGTGTGCTCCCACGCTCTGAATCCAGTCTCCAGCTGTTTCTACATCCTTGCCTGGCTTTTCTCCTGCACCACCCTGCTTCCCGAACTCCCCTTCTTCTGAGCACTCCTTCAATAAGTCACCTAAGTAAGAATCCCATCATCTCAGGCTCTGCTTCTAGGGAAATGGACATAAGACAATAAGAAACAAAGAACCTGGGATTCTGAATATGATGACCTCAGATGAGGACAGGCAGGGGGATGAGATGGAGATCAGGGCCCTATGGTTAGATGAAGGACCCTAGATTTTGTTTCAGGTTCTGTTTTTTAAAACCCCTAGTTAAGTAGCAAAATAAGTAACAAAAGAGGGCTATACAGGGATCCCCGATGAGCGTGCCATGAACCAAGGATTATGATTAATCTATTTCTATGGACCTGAAATCCAATTTTAAGAATGTTTATAAAAATGCAGATTTTCACATAAAAAGGTGTTATTATTCAACATGCCCTTATTGAGTGTCTAGTGTGTGCCAAGAACAATTTTAGATGCTGGCAATGCAATGGTAAAAAAAAAAAAAAGACAAAATTTGTCTTCTTGCATGGAATTTTATTGAATTTGGAGAGACAGGAAATACTCAAGTAAACAAATTTAAAAATTTAATTTGGGTAATGAGAGCTGCTTTAAATAAAAGAAAAGTGGCAGCTGAAAGGAGAGTGCTGGGTGGTGGTCGGGCCTCTAGGTTGGGAAAGTTAGAGACGATGGCGTTTGGACTTACATTATAATATTGTTCTGAACTTTCTTCTTCATATTCTTATACTCCCCCAAACCACACAAGAAAGGTGGGCTAGATGTTATTATCCACACTATATTGGTGGAACATTTCAAGAGCAATACATTTCTTGCCCAAGACAAAAAATATGTTCTATTTTCTAAGCGAAAGCCCCACTGAAAAAGAGAAAACCTGAGCCATAAACCTTCATGAGCATGACTTAAATTTCTGAAATACATTTAAGTTCAAGAGGCTTTGTATGAAATCAGTCTCTATGGAATTTCCCACTATTAAGAGCACAGTGAGCACTGATGATTGAAAAGAGCATTTTGAGTTCTTTTTTGTAGTCCTGGGGAGGGGGGTTGCTGAGCCATCTCCAGCCCTTACACTCAACAGAAGACCTTTGTGAAGTAGCAGACAGGGTGAAGGATACGGTCCATGGCTATGGATGGGATTGGGTGTTGTCCATGTGCTGCCACTTAAAAAGGGAGCCATTCATTGAACTGTCAGCCTCCTGAAAGGCAGACCACATCCACTTCTGTCTTCTGGGTTACAGATGGTGAGGAGAGGGAAGCAGCCCAACTCCTTTACTTAGCCATGTGACCTTGGACTATAATGTAACCTTTGGGAGCCCCAGGTTCCATAAAAAATTTGTTAATGCTTACCTGAGGATATTTTTTTCCCATTGATTTTTAGAGAGAGTGAAGGAGAGTGAGGAGGGGGAGAGAGAGAAACATTGATGTGAGAGAGACACATCAATTGATTGTCTCCCACACGTGTGCAACCCGGGGGCCAGGGATAGAGCCTGCAATTGAGGTACGTGCCCTTAACCGGGAATTGAACCTGAGACCCTTTGGTCCTTGGGCTGACACTCTAACCACTGAGAAAAACTGGCCAGGGCTGGTTCCTCATTTTTAAAATGAGAATAATGATATTATTTACAATGGCTTATCAAGAGAATGTAGTAAGCTACTCTGCTCAGCACCATACCTGGCAGTAAAAGCACTATGTTTGCCGGAGTTCTTATTCTCACCAAATGGTGGAAATTCATTTATTGATTAGGTCATTGGCATGTCCCCTACTTGGAAGACTTTTTTTTTTTTTTTAACTTTTCATGAGACCTAATGTCAAAGATCTCAACAGTTCACAGAAAATCAGGAGTTGGATTTTAAATCATTTTTAGTATTTGGGTTTGGAATATTGGGGTTCTTTCTCTGGGAGCTTTCCCATGTTAAGTAGAAATGGATGCCTGAAACCCTCACAGGTCCGACTTCCAAGCACAACAGTGTCGGCGTGTGGGGTCATCTTTGATTTTTACAGGTGGTGGGAAGGCCCTGCTGTAAGTCTGTTTTGGGTGAACGTGAGGGTATGTTCCAGCTCTGGAATGCCCTATGTAGATAACATTCCTTCTGTATCCCTGTATTTAGACCAACTATGAAGAATCACTTTTATCATCATCCTCCTTATCTTTCTGTTTGATGAATTCTGGAATTTCGCCAAACGAGACAGCTTGTAAAAGAAATTCTTTCTACCATTTGTACTGAGCCTTAAATCATGAACACCAGCTGTTTCTGATATTTGAAGTAAAGCTCCAGGTGTACTGGGGGCATCCAGAGAGCACAGGCAGATTTTTTCTCCCCTAGAATACACCTAGTATTGTGGTGCAGCTGGGCAATTTGCTCCTTTAATGCAGAAAGTGAATCTCATCATTTGCTGTATTTCCTACAAGGCCAGGCTCAGCAGCTAGTAAATATTTGTTGATTCGATTTGCTGCAGGGCAGCAAATTAACAGTTGCATAAGCCATCCACTCAACAAGTTAGGGCAGCAGGAAAAGAGTACTTTTTTCCAACAAATATTATCAGGGGATTTCTGGAAAACAGATGGGCCCGTATGTCCCTCAATTCTAAGAGAGACAGAGCATAAATTAAACCTTCAGAGATAAGGAAGACTTGATATTTGTTAAATTGCTTGCATTTTTGTAATGATTTATAGTCTGAAAATGCTTTTATAGATAATGGATAATTAAATTATCACAACCACCCGGTGATATATGCGCGGCTGGTATTCGTATCCCTATTGAGCTGACGAGGAACCGAAGTCGTAAAGAGAAGTAACACGCCAGCCCACGTGCACATGGGTGGGAACGGTAAAGCGGGGTCTCAAGGCTGCTCTACAGGGTGTTGCTGAGAAAGCAAAGAGGCCACCATTTGGGACGTGAATGCCTTTAAAACGCACCAGTTCCTCTGGGTTCGCAGCCCTGCATTGTTTGTCTGGCTTCTGAAGCCTCCGAGCTTCCAGTTTTCATTGATGAGAGGGAGTTTAGGCAGGAAACAGCAGCCAGGTCACCCTCTGGCTGCCAGCGCTGGCTGAAGTCCACTGCCAACGGAGAGAGAGGCGTTGTGTGATTCTGATGGGCCCAACCCCTCCTGGTCTGTGCTGGAGATGGTCACCCAGGGATAATTTGGGAGAGTGTTTTAATTATTTCGAAACATTCAAAATGGACCAAAGGC